GCCTTCAGGACCTCATTTGGCGTGTTAATGTCCCACTGCGCGAGGACATCATCGGAGAAAGCGGTGAGGGAGGTGAGGGGGACCCGAGCGCTAAGCAAATGTAGTGCATAGCAGATAAAGATGCTCCACAAGGCAGGGGCCAGGCCGCAGCCCTGGCGAACACCAGAGTGCAAGGCAACTGGGATGTCATGTTCTTTATGCTGTATAAGTAAGGAGGACTGCCTGTGGATGTGTAGAATGAGGTCCATAAGCTCAGGTGCAACCCCTGCGAAGATCAGAGCATCCCTTAGGACCGAGCGGGGCAAGCAATCGAATGCTCTGGAAAGATCTAGAGAGAGGGTGAGCCCCCCTTTGCAATGACCGGATTTGTTCCCTTCCCGACGCTCAAACAGATTGTACTTCTGACCAGCAAGCACCTTCCTAGCTGCAGCGCAGTGTGCGCAGGCTCGCTCGATTGAGTCCTCGACAGAACGTTGCCCAATGTAGGCATATTGAGGGTAGCGTGCGGCCAGGGCCTGCACGTGCGGCCGGAGCCTGTCAGCAACGAGGACAGCCAAGCACTTCGAAACAGGATGGAGGAGGGCGATTGGTCGCAGGTTCTCTGGCTGCTTCGGCGGTTTGGAGGGTTTATTCAGGAGGCAAAGAGCCGATCTGGACCAGCGGCCTGGCATGGGCTCCTGCATATTCGCCTGCCAACCATGGAGAGCCGGGAGCACCACCTCAGTCAGGGCATCGGCCGCCAGCGCTGAAAGAGGGGCCGGCGCGAGCCATGAAGGGAGAGCTTTGCCTTGTGGCAGGCGCATGAGGGCCGCACAGAGTTCCGACCTCGAAAAGGGAGGACTCCAGTGGGTGGAAGGGAGGTCCTCAGGGCAGGAGGATTTGTACAAGCATCTAAAGTAGTCTCCTATCCGCTTGGCTTCTTGGGCAGCGGTGAGCGGTTGGCCATCCTCAGCCCGGAACTGAATGGGCTTGCGAACGGTTTTGGGAGACAGGCGACGAACGACTTGGTAAACAGCGGTAAGCCCTCTATGGGCAGCGGACTCAGCCTCCGCAAGGAGGTCCTGGATCCTTTGCTGCTTTCTGGTCCTGCACATGTTCCGGAGCTCCCTGGTAGCATCTTGGAGCTCTTGTTGCCTCGGCCAGGGATTGGCCCTACCATAAGTGTATAGATGATGGCGTCTCTCCTTGCGAAGCCTCCAGAGAGTGAGGATAAGCTCCGTTTGGGGCCCGTGCCCGTCCTGGCTCTTGGGTTTGCGTGTGTCCGGGGCACAGGTTTGCCAGGCTTGAACAAGCAGAGCAGAGAGATTGTCAACTGAGGCCTTGGCCAGAGCACTGCGTGCGTGCGACACAAAGAGATCAGCAAGGGCAGGGTCTGTGCGTAGCGCCCGCCGCACCGTGGCTAGTGACACAGCTTGAGGCTTACGGGGGAGTTTGGGCACGCGGGGCATTCTGAGGGAGCCGCAAAGGGGCAGGTGACGCAGGCCCGAGGTCTCAACGAAAGGAAGCCAGGTAGCCTGTGCCAGGCGGGCGATTGCATCCGAGGAGCGTTGCCTGGTGATAGCAAAATCTATTTGCGTTCCTCTGCCTCCGTTCGCGGGGGATAAATGTTTCCGCTCGGCGCCCTGCACCGCGCCAGGTGTTCAGTGCTTGCAGGGAGAAAGTTCGAAGAAGGTTTTGGAACGAGTCCTGGTCCGGCTGCGGTCTACTGAGACGAGTTCTGAGGCCACCGCCGACATGCTGACCATCCTCATGGAGGTCACAGTTGAAGTCGCCTGT